TATTCCTCTGACGTTTTATGTGGATCATTTCCGATATCAAACGTTTGCCCAAAAAAAGCTCTTCGTCCAAGACTTTTATATCCTCCCAATTAAAATCATGATTCAGCAATCTATGCTCCGATATAACTGATAATTGTGACGCGTTTCTTTTTATATTGTTACGGTGTTCTTCCGTCCTAGTTTTTAATAATCTACCCGTCTGCCCTACGTACGACGCATCACAATTCATACAATCAATTTTGTAAACTACATTGTTATGGAGTTCTCTTGGTAACTTATCCTTGTGTACTTTAAAGAGTTATCGTTTCGTTAACCACGCGTGTGATTTATTATCCAGCTCACTGTCTTTCGTCTTACTATAATAACGTCACTTTCTCTTCGGAGTGCCTGCCGCGAACGGCAAGTGCGCTATCATAATTTTTGGTCCTTCGAGCCAGATCTCCAACGGCTTTGGAATTCGGAGCAAGGACGAGGAAAAGGCCGGTGACTCGACACGTGGTTTTAGGAGCCATCTTGGATCTGAACGGCTTTCCGACGGATATTCCGTCTATCCTGTGAACATTTTAGCATTAGTACGCGTGTGGACGTGAACTTCCAAGTGCTTAGACGCATCCGCGCAGAAGACTCCGCGAGGACGTGACCGTGCTGAGCACCAGGAGTCGATTTCCAGAGTTTTTGCTCTCGCCCACCCGCTGTGTTACCGCGAGTGCAGTGAACATATCCCCGCGCAGACGAATCCGTGGCATCGAGGCGTCATATTCCAAGGCGGAAACGAGCCCGGAACATACGAGAAGACGGCGGAACGTGAACATCGTCCCCGAGTACAGCACCCCCTCTCCCCCGCAACCAACAGCTGCGCGAGTTCGAGAAGAGGGGATCGGCGCGGTGAGGGACGTTACCGGCATCTACGTCTCACGCATCCGTCTGTCTCACACAGGTGTCTCGCTCGTACACTCACGGTAGGAGATCTATCGCGCGCTCTCTCTTACAACCAGACGCTCCGGCAAGCAGCGTTCTCGGTCGCACGCACGCGAACGTGCATGCTACAGCGTGCCCTGTATTGGACGCTCACTCGCACTCGCCACGGCTCGTGTTCTCTCGCGACCAACGGACGCTCGTGCGGTATTTACTATCTCTTCTTCTTAGTTCGCATTATTTACTCGCGTTCGAACTCTCATCGGCTTTTTCTTTCTCTCTTATTTTTACTCGAAAAGCGCGCAAAACAACACGCGCCGTAACTTTTTTGTTGTTGCGCGCTCGCCGTTCTCATCATGCCGATCGACAAGGCGGAAGTCACGATCGAAGCGCGATCACGATCTGATCGCCAATTTTCAGGCGAATACTTCCAAGCAAAAGGCAGCGAAGGACACGACGCTGAGCGACTATCAAACTCGGGATCGCTTCCTTGAAGGTTATTGGAGCGGCTTTCAGGCAAGAGATTACCAGCTCTATCCGTATGCTGAGGAACTCAAAGGCCTCACGTACTTCAAGGACAATCTGTATGAGTCCGGGATGACGGCCTATCTGTCGACTAAGTCGTGGCTAACCGAGCGCATTGCCGCGAAGACGATGCCTGTATTGCCCGTTAGAACAGTATCAAGCGCTGCACTTTTAGCTTCGCTTTCTCCGCTTGAACGCGTCAAGCTTCCGAAATTCGACGGGACTCAGAGAGACTGGCAGAGTTTTAAGAGTAAATTTCAATCACTTGTTTTAAATGAGCCAAACATAAGCGCGGTTATTAAATTTCAGCATCTTCTCAACTCACTGGAAGGAGATGCTAAAGGCAAACTCAGAGGACTAGAGGTCACGGGAGATAATTGTATCACTGCCTGGGAGTCGCTCTGCAGTCGGTACGACAACATCTTTCTGAGATTCTCTACTCATTTCAATGCGTTGCTCGTGCTGCTTTCGTCGGCCAAGGAGACAAACGCGCATTTGAGTAACCTTCTCAATACGACGAACGAGAGCATCAACGTTGAGCACTGGGACATGGTGTTCATCCAATGCATTGAGTCCAAGTTAGCTCCTGCCTCACACATGAACTGGGCAAAGCAAATCGAGACCATTCAGGATGGATTCTTCCCGAAATTCGACCTTTTCAAGAAATTTCTTGAAAATCGGATTCAGACCTTGAACAAAATCGAGGCAATATCTCAGGCGTCAGCTGATTCCAAGATCAAATTTTCCAGCAGCCAACAAGGAAGCTCATCTAATAAGCAACCGAAGGGGAAGAGCACCGCGGTTCACACGACGGTCTCACCTTCAAAGTCAGGCTCAAAGTCGAGATCATCAGACTCTGTGTCCTGCGCTCATTGCCAAGGATCGCATTTCGTCAGCAAGTGCAAAAGCTTTGCCTCTCTCTCGCAGGGCAAACAAAAGCACCTTGTTGTCAGCAAGGGTCTATGTACGAATTGCTTCAGCAGTCATCACAAGGTCGACGACTGCAAATCTCAAAGACGTTGTCTCGTGTGCGCGGGTCTGCATTACACGCGACTTTATCAGGACGGGCAGCCTTCCGGATCTACAACGCAACACCTCTCCGAATTCTCAGGAAAAACCACAGCGCATGTGGTCACATCCAGCACACCTCAGATCTTCAGCGAGTTCTGCGGCACGAATCAGCTTCTAGCTACGGCCGTGGTCACATTGCAATCTGAGACCGGGGTGTCTCTAACTGCGCGTGTGCTTCTGGATTCTTGGCAGAGCAATGCATTGTTTCGGACTACGTTGTCCGGGCGCTCAACTTGAAGCGCAACCCCGTTCACGTCATTGTCAATGGCACGGGCGGCACTACAAACGCCGTTGCTCAGAGTCGAGTGGAACTCACTCTGAAATCGCAACGCAATACTGACTTTTCTCTCAATTTCTCAGCTCTGGTGTTGAAGAGGGTCTCCAATCTGGTGCCCAGGAGGCGGGTCAAGCCTCAGGAGAGATGGAGCCTTGGAGACGGCCTTCATCTAGCCGACCCTTATTTCGGGTCGCCCAGCAGAGTAAACTGCATTCTCAGCTCGGCAGTTTTCGGCGCCACGATACTGCCTGGAATTAGAAGGGCTGCCAATCCTCTTCAAGCTCCGGTAGCACAAGAGACTGTCTTCGGTTGGGTCCTCTTGGGCAGTGCTGGGCCGGTCGACGATCGCAGTGACGCGACGTCCGTGCATCACATCTCCGTCGACCACGAGCTTACTAAGGCCGTGGCCAGGTTCTGGGAAGCCGAAGAGCTTCCGCGTGTGCATCGGCTGGCGCCTGACGACCAGGAGTGCTGGGACCACTTCAAAAAGTCATCCTTTCGTAACGAGGAAGGTCATTACGTTCTACCGCTTTCCTTCTTCGAAACCCCTCGATTTGTTGGCATCGATACTACTGCGCTGTATGAAGCGCCTCGAGCGTTGATTTGCCAAACAACCCGACGTCGCGGCCGCATACTTTGCCTTCATGCGCGAGTACCTCGACCTCGGCCATATGCAGGCGGTGCCAGAGAGCGAGCTGGAAGCCAACCAAGTCTACTATCTGCCACATCATCCTGTTTTCAAGAAGGATTGTGACAAAATCCGATTCGTTTTTAATGGCTCTCAGAAGGACGCCCTGAGAGTCTTTCTCAATTCCAGGCTTCATGCTGGCCCCAAGTTGCAGGAGAACCTTGTAGTCGTGTTGTTGAGATAATGCTTCCTTTAATACGCGTTCACCTGTGACGTGGTGAAAATGTTCCGGCAGATGTTGATCCACTCGCAGGATCTGGACTGGCAGCGCATCTTCTGGAGGTTCTCACCCGAGACGCCGTTGCTTGCGTACCGCCTGCGCACGGTAACGTACGGCACGGCCTCGGCCCCTTTCCACGCCAACGCCTGCCTGTTGGATCTTGCCGAGGCGGAGGCGCATCGCTTTTCACGAGGGTCCAAGCTGCTCCAAAAAATCGCTATGTCGACGATTTTTTGGCTGGGGAAGACACACTCGAAGAGGCAGCAGCTGCTAAGTCTGAGCTTGTTGGCATCCTGTCCTCAACAGGAATGGCGGTAGACAAATGGGCTGCAAACCACGCCGACCTTCTCGGCACAGCTGAGCCGCTATATCACCGAAGGCTCACTGAGATCGACACGGTCTCAACTCTGGGCTTGAAGTGGCTACCCCACACGGACGTCTTCAATTTCGAAGTGCGACTTCCGTCCTCACCTTCTGCAGTGACGAAACGCACAATTCTCTCTCAAATTGCGACGCTGTTTGATCCGGTACGCTGGGTCTCTCTAGTGGTCATACGGGCGAAGTTGCTTCTGCAGATCCTGTGGCTTCAGGGTGCAGACTGGGACGCTCAGGTCACAGGCGACCTTGAACAGTCTTGGCTCACGTATCGGACGGAATTGGCGGATCTGAAGGCAATTGAGATTCCACGCTGGCTGGGTACCACTGGATCAACGGAGTGGCATCTTCACGGTTTCTGCGACGCCTCCGAGCGCGCGTTCGCAGCAGCCATCTACGTCGTGGTACCAGCAGCATCACGGTCTCGGCTGTTGATGGCCAAATTAAAGGTCGCACCTCTAAAGGTTGTTAGCCTTCCCGAACTCGAGCTATGTGGAGCTTCTCTTCTTGCGCAGCTGATCGTCTGCACTCTGCCGCAACTGGAAGCTCAACCGACGCAGATTCACTGCTGATGAGACTCTCAAGTAGTCCTGTCGTGGCTACAATCGCATCCATTAAAATGGAAGGCATACGTGGCGAACCGGGTCAGCGAGATCGCCATTTTCTTACCCACTGCTGCTTGGCGCCACGTCAGATCGGCTCACAATTCCGCGAACCTGGCAACCAGAGGATGCTCTTCCCGGCAGCTGCAGGGATTCGGGATCGGGTGGAGAGGACCTGAGTGGCTGACACGACCGCAGGCCGAATGGCCCTCCAGGCCTATCCTCGAAGCCACGAAGTTGGAGTTGCGCAGCCTAAACAACGTTTGGCTGGCGCAACCGGACCTACCATTTTTCGACTGGCTGCAAAAGTTCTCGTCTTTTGACAAGATGAGCGCGATTCTTGCCTACGTACATCGCTGGCGATTAAACTCAAAGCTAGCGAAATCTGATCGCCGCAAGGGCCTTCTGTTCTTGCGGGAGTTATCTTTCGGATTGGTGACGCTTCTCAGGTTGGTGCAGATGGAGACCTTTTCGGAGGAGTTCCAGAGCCTTGCCTCAAAGGGGGGGGGGTCCGTGTCAACAGTCCCCTTCGTAAACTCCTACTCTTCGTCGACACTCAAGGTCTGCTCCGTGTCGGTGGCAGGCTCCAGAATTCCTTCCTCTCGGAATCCGAAAAGCATCCGATCATCCTCCCTAAGATCATCACGTCACCGTCCTACTTATACGCAGAACCCACATATCTACGTTACATGGGAACTACCGTTTGGTGCACAATTATCTGTTGCAGAAATATTGGATCCTGCGTGCCAATACCATCATTCGGCGCATTGTACGAAATTGCGTCAGGTGCACTCGTCACAACGCCATCACCCTCGAGCAGCAAATGGCGCCGCTGCCGGCCATCCGAGCCAAACCGGCTCTGCCATTTGCGCACTTTGGAGTCGACTTCGCCGGCTACTTCTGCGTAAAGGCCTCATCTGGGCGAGGGCAGAAGACCTCTAAGGGATACGTGGCAGTGTTCGTGTGCCTCGTCGTCAAGACCATTCATCTGGAGCTGGTCTCTGATCTGACGACTGACGCGTTCCTGGCGGCATATCGTCGCTTCACCGCCCGGCGTGGACTCTGTCAGGTCATTTACTCTGACAACGGCATCACCTTTAAGGGCAGCGAGGCCGAGCTACATAGACTCTTTCGGAGACCTCCGCCACCGGTCAGGCCGTAGCGGCTGCCGTGACGTCGGATGGAGTGGAGTGGCGATACATCTCCCCTCGAGCTCTAAGCTTTGGGGGCATCTGGGAGTCCAACGTCAGGTCGATAAAGCGTCATCTTTACAGAATCATTGGCAACTCTAAGCTCACGTACAAGCAGCTGTCTACCGTGCTGGCCAGCACAAAGGCCTGTCTTAACTCCCGGCCGATCAGCGCGCTCAGCTCGGATCCGAACAACGCCTCAGCATTGACGCCCGGACAGTTCATCATCGGGAGGCTCCTCGTTGCTCCCCGGAATCTTTCACGGAGATCAATCAGCCGGGGCAACAATGTTCCGGATGGCGTCCGCTGCAGCTCATGAGGAATCACTTCTGGCAGCGCTGGAGGTACCTGGCGGAGTACCTGGCTCAGCTGCAACAGCGGTCCAAATGGCTCAAGCCAAATCGACAGCTTCAGGTGGGCGACTTGGTCCTCTTCAAGGACAAGCTGGCCCCTCCGACGAAGTGGCTGTTGGCCAGAGTGGTGCGACTTCATCCTGAACAGAATGGACTGACGAGAGTCGCCACCATTCGCACATCGGCTTCGGAGTTGGTGCAATCCAATAACCTCATCTTGCTGCCAGTGCACGAAAAGACCATCTCCAATTTAGTCAATTCGAGTCATTCATGGCGGTGTATTAGCTTCAAGATATGCGAACTTTTTGAGTGTAACTATTTTAAACGAGTTTAGTTTGCGAATTGTACGCGCGATGTTTCTGATTTGCGATAGTCACCGCGTTGAATCTTTGAATCCTGCGCGTATTCTAGTTCCGAAATTATATCATATTATTGTTTTCCTTTTAGTTTTAGATTTAATTCAAATGTGCAATTTTAATTTTACAGTCATTCTAAAGGTATTATCGGAGAATTTATAATTTTTAAGTTCTTTCATTCTCGGGTTTCATGTACGCAACCCTCTTAATTATTGTGATCATATCGAGTCAATTTATCATTGCTGTATCAATCGCTCGAACTTAATACTTCGAGCGATGGCGAGCGGAATGTTCGCGTGGAATATTGCCGCGAACGCATTGTATACGTGTCCTTAAGGATCTCCTAGAGGACCTTTGTACACAGCGCGTAAGGTATCGTCTTGCGCTCGCAATTCGGCAGTTTTCGTGCCGACGCGCCCCCCTCCCTTCTCCCCCTGATCAGTGAATCACGGAGAGAAGGAATTCGCTTCCTTCTTCTGTCGTGCGACTTTGGGATAGACGCAAGCGATTGTGAAAAGTGCGAAATATAGATTAAAGAGTTATCGTTTCGTTAACCACGCGTGTGATTTATCATCCAGCTCACTGTCCCTCGTCCTACTATAATAACATCACTTTCTCTTCGGAGTGCCTGCCGCGAACGGCAAGTGCGCTACCAATATATATATGTAAATGTTTTATTTATATAGTTGAAGAAAATATGTGCAAATAAGCCTACTGTAAATAAGATTACAGTGGTAGATAAAAAAAGAAGAGAAATAAAGCGGAGAGAAAAAAGAGCGTTTTACTTAAAGTCTAAGAAGATAAAGAATAAACTAAAAAGAAAGAGAAAAAGAAAGAGAAAAAAAACGAAAAATATAATATTAAGTAATAATAATTTATAAAATAAATGTTAAGTATATAATGCAGTATTTAACTTGTATACTTGAATAACTTTTAAATTATATTTTGCATAAAAAATTGTTTGATTTGGAAAAAATTACTACATAACTTTTTTTATTTTGTAACTGAAAAAGTTTTTTTTGTAACTGAAAAAGTTTCAAAAATTTAAATATCAACTTCGTTTTTTTTTAAATGTAGAAGCTATTTTAATTTTTTTATGTAAATCGATTATTTATTTTTCGTAATATTTTGAATAAAAAGTATAAAGGTTAAAAAATAGAAATTAGATGATATAAATATATATACAAAGTATATATATATATATATCAATTCAATTCTTTATTCTTCAATATAAAAAAACCTGTTAATCTCGGCTCGAATTATTGTGTTACAATAAAAATAAATTCTTGACGGCAATCGGAGCCTGTGCGGATGACATGCACAAAATTAATAAATTAAATTCATCAAAGTATACAAGAATAAGTTACCAAGGGAACTCCATAATAATGTAGTTTATAAAAATTGATTGTATGGATTGTGATGCGTCGTATGTAGGGCAGACGGGTAGATTGTTGAAAACTAGGATGAAAGAACATCGCAGCAACATAAAAAGAAACGCGTCACAATTATCAGTCATATCGGAACATAGATTATTGAACCATGAATTTAATGGGAGGATGTAAAAATCTTGGACGAGGAGCCTTTTTTAGGTAAACGTTTGATATCCGAAATGATCCACATAAAGCGTCAGAAGAATAGTTTAAATTTACATAGCGACACCGACAAATTAAACGAGAATTTTGATCTGTTAATTGAAAAATTTACCAAAATCTAGCTTTGTGATTATACATAACCGGATTTTTTCGTTAGACCTTTGACATGAGTGCCGATAAGTATTAGTTGTTTTTATATTTATTTTCATATTTTATTTTATATTTGTTTTTTTTGCGTATATATGTATCGACTGTGTCGAGGGTAGAATACCGCACAGTCGTTAGAGTGATGTGTCACGTGTAGCATCGTCTTCTCTCTGTTTTTGCTGTCGGGGTGAGTGTTCTTCCCGGTTTTTAATTTATAATTCTTGTGAATTTATACGTTTAATTTATACTATGTGATTAGTGTGGTAAGGGAGTCACTGCTCTGCTTCCTTCCTGACGATGATCACCGTTAGGGAGACACTCCGACGGCCGGACGGTTTTTGAATAGGGAGGAGAATGATATTTAATTTATTTGCGGATTGTATGTATACGAGTTTATAATTTTCTGATTGTACCAATCATCTTTTATTTTTGTTTCTTTGTATTTTGCAGCTACTGAAGAAGACCCGAAGTGGGTCGAAACGTTAGAATTTAATAAATGAGTTTGATTTAAGATCTCATTTTAATTTATTAATTTTGTGCATGTCATCCGCACAGGCTCCGATTGCCGTCAAGAATTTATTTTTCTTTATTATTCCCCTGAGGGATTGAAGGCGCTTTTGAAGGAGCGTTCCCCAACCTTACACAAACTCTTACAAATTACTTATATCTACTCTTATCTCTACTCTTACATCTAATTACAAATAACTTAATTCTACCTTAACCTACTTATCTACTAC